AGTCTAAGAGTAAAGTTGTATATGACTGTAGTCTATAATGTTTAGTAAAAAAATTCAGGGTATCAAATTAAGAACTTGTAATTGAGTCCCTCTAGCTATTTGTGTATTAGATGTGATATGGGACTTATTTGTAATTGAGTCCCTCTAGCTATTTTGTGTGTTAGATGTAATATAGGACTTATTTGTAATTGAGTCCCTCTAGCTATTTTGTGTGTTAGATGTAATATTGGACTAATTTGTAATTGAGTCCCTCTAGCTATTTTGTGTGTTAGATGTAATATAGAACTAATTTGTAATTGAGTCCCTCTAGCTATTTTGTGTGTTAGATGTAATATAGGACTAATTTGTAATTGAGTCCCTCTAGCTATTTAGTGTGTTAGATGTAATATAGGACTTATTTGTAATTGAGTCCCTCTAGCTATTTAGTGTGTTAGATGTAATGTAAGACTTTTTGTAATTGAGTCCCTCTAGCTATTTTGTGTGTTAGATGTATTATAGGACTTTTTGTAATTGAGTCCCTCTAGCTATTTAGTGTGTTAGATGTATTATAGGATTTTTTGTAATTGAGTCCCTCTAGCTATTTAGTGTGTTAGATTTAATATAGGACTTATTTGTAATTGAGTCCCTCTAGCTATTTTGTGTGCTAGATGTAATATAGGACTAATTTGTAATTGAGTCCCTCTAGCTATTTAGTGTGCAAGATGTAATTTAGAACGTATAATATTTTTTATATTTTAGCACATTATACAGAAAAATAGAAAAGCAAAATATTTGTACAAGTAGATATTCTACAGTCTGCTTCTTTAGAACTGATAAACTGTTAAAGTTAATAATTTTCACAAATGTTGTAAAATCTTAAAACACGTGAAGGGGCCTCGTTTTCTTTCCACGCTATCTCCTAGAAAATACCTCATAAATGTTTATATAGTTATTAAAATAATAAAGATGTGTAGAACTTAAAAGTTAATGTTAGTAAGGAAGATTTTAAACTGTATTTTTAAGAAGACCTTAGCACAGATATGTTAGACATAATTTTTACTTTTATTTCTAATTACAACTTCATAGCAATAGGTACAGCTAATTATTTATGGTATGTTATGTTTGGTGTCCTTCATCCAAGTTCAAGGTTATGAGGTAGATACCATACTGTTAGTTTATTAGATGCATACAAAGTGGCATTTATTGCACATTTAAATTTGAATAATCTTTCTGAACATCTCAGTTCTCATGATTTTTTGCTACTCTAACTTCAAACTTTGGACAATAACCTTTCTACATATACTGAAATTTTATGAATTAGGTGTGTATGTGGCTAATGAGTTAATATTTTTATTTCATGTGCTTATGATGTAAAATATTTCCACAAACATAGTTATTGTAGTATTTACACTCAGTTTTTATAATAAACTTTTACAGCCTCTTATAGTAAATACCCTTCCTTACCCTTTTGGTGAAGAAATTGCAGGAATAGCAAATGCTACAGGAATTCCAATGGGTAAGTTTTAGTATTATTTTTAAGTTTCATTATACATTTAGGATAAAAAATCTTTATCAGGTTTGGAGGAGTTAGTTTGCAAGTATTGTCCAATTTGGAAATTTTCATTTTAAAGTGTAGAGTATTATACATTTCCTTTATTAAAATTTTAATTTTTTTGTCTGAGTAGTGATAAGATAAATTAATTTACAGTTTTAAAGTTCTCACCTTTTTCCCATTTCTAGCTTTATACAGCAATATCTAGACTCTTACTCCCACCTTCTTTATTTGGGAAAGCTGTGATTTACATAATACTTGTAGCCAGACCAGTGCTAGAATATAGTGGTATGTAGTGTAGAGAAACATTTCACGTCGTTGAAGGATTTAAAAATAATGAAGTCAACAGCTTATTTCAATTATACTTAAACCTAGATAAGTTAGGAAATTTGTTAAGGGAAAAAAGAAGTTAAGAAAGATTGAAAACATATTACAAAATGTGGAAAAGTCAGGGAAAATTTTGGGCCTTTTGTTTCTCTTTCTTTTTATTATCTCAGAATTCAAACACTCATATAGATCATGCTGCTTAGCTATTGCCAATGTATTTATACATTTTAATATATTCTTGGTCAGTCATTCAACATTATTTTATTTGATGATTGGTAAGATCAAATATTATTTTATCATCAACTGTCAAGTTGCAATGTCCTTGTTTGAATGTCTTTTTCTGTACTTTCACAGTCTGGAGTAAGTACATTCCAAAGTTTTTATTACCCTTTACAACCAACTTTTAAGTGAAAGTGATGTTAATGACATAAAAGTTAAAATATCAGTGTGTTTGTATGTGCAGGCCTGGAAGGTTTTAGAAAGAATTTAGCCACCCCATTAGTTAAAGTGAACCAGTATGCTTGTTGGTGGAATGCATGAATAAATTTTTCCACTTGTTTCACTAATTTGAAAAAATATCTTATGTGAACTGGTTACTCCAAAAATAAGAACTGTTCAAATAATGCTTCAAAATACAAACCATGTGTACACTGTGCTAGTATTTGAATAATGATTTAAAACACGAACCATGTGTACACTGTGCTAGTATTTGAATAATGATTTAAAACACGAACCATGTGTACACTGTGCTAGTATTTGAATAATGATTTAAAACACAACCATGTATATACTGTGCCAGTATTTGAATAATGATTTAAAACACGAACCAT